ACGACCCGGAAACCTTCTTGACTTGTTCATTCCTTGTTTCTCTGTCCAATCTTTTAACACAAGATCCCAGCCCACAAACCTATATATCCCTTCTCATAAAACAGTTTATTTTGAAAAAACCTTTACAATGCTTTCTATTGTTAATTTAAAACTATTATTTATATTGCTTACCATACAAATATGTTAACACAGGAACATCAATTTACCTATAATTTCATCATGTTGTATGTATATTTAGAGTAGCACTTTATTTTTATTTTAATGTTACACAACTTCGTAACTTAATTGTTATTTGCTAGACAGTATGTGCCAGACAAATTTATGTTATAATGTAAATGTCATTGTACATGTTTGTTATTCTTAGGAGACTAAACGTCCCAGAGTAAAATTTACTTTCTTTAATAAAAAAAAAAAAAACTAGTTAAGATGAAAAGAAAGTTTTATTTGGGCATAATTCAAAAAGTTAGATTTTAATAGAACTATCAAAAAGGTATTATCAACTTAATAATCCTATAAAATACTTAGGTTAAGGTAAAAAATTACATCAATTTTTTATCAGCAAGGAAAGAGTCAAGTATCACTACATAGAAGACCTTAATTGTAAATGTTCATCACATATTTTAAGTACCAGCAATTGTTTTCTTCTTTAAGATAATTTTAAGAAGGTTAAACAATATATTGAGAGATTCGGCAATTTCAGTTTTACTTTTAATTCATAGTACATTTTTTAAAATTTATTTGTTTGATAATTGTTAATTTTTATGAATGATTTATAACATTTATTACAAACATCAACTTTTAAAAGGCTAAACATCTAATATATCCTCCAAAAACGTGTAATGTTAACACACTGCTATATATTCATTACCTTAAGGTAGTAATTTACTTTTAATTTTGAGGATGAAAGAAAATTGTCAGGAATTTCTTTCATCCTCATAACTGATCAGTCAATTTTTTTCTCATCACTAATATTTTTAATTTTGATTTGTGATGAGGCAAATCTTAAACTAAGATTAAAATGAATAACAAAAATTAATTTTTTAAACTTGGAGAATTGAAACAGATCAAGAGGAAAATGGATTCTAATTCCTCGCCTGGACAATAACTAACTTAAACATTCACTGTCATTTTTTGATTTGCTGTGAGAAAAAGTAAATATGGATGAATATGGTTTGGAGGATAACAGACACTCTTGAATACGATTATGTGATGAAGAAAAGGCTACCTCAGTGAGGAATCTCTTAACCACCCTCAGCTCAACTCTTTTTCAGAAGCAAGAAAACTTTTTTCTGTAAATATTTTGATACTGCATTCGATTTCTAATTATTATACAGCAAATTTTAAGCATTTTCAGTGAGTTCATAAAAATAAAACTTTTTTATTTTGGGTTCTCCGCTTCCTTGCCTTTAAGGCTATACGGGGTTTTCCTGGGCCAGGGGGTGTGGGCGGGGATTTAAAAGACTCTCCCGGAACCAGGACGCGAACTCGTGACTATTTTTAAATCCATTGTCTCATAGATCAGGTTGCCGGGCAACGGTGGTGCTGTGCACACACGTTAACCCGTTTAGCCTCCCTCCCCCCACCCACCAAATAAAACCTTTAACTAAATAATCTCAATGTTGTTCATTTCCTGTTGTTTTTTAAATGGGGTAAATGAATTCCAACAAAAAATATGTCTTGACACTCCTTTAATTAAGCAAGGTATCATTAACAATACCTTCCTATATAAATAATAAATGGACATGAATTATATACTTTTTCAGAACCCGTTTGTCCCCAAATAGTAAGGTTTATAACAGAAACAGAAATGGCTGAATCACTATTCATCCAGGTAAGGCATAATGCCTATTTAAAACAAAAATCAACTAGCTAAACGAAATAAAATTAGCATTATTATATATTATATTTTATTGTAACTGTTAGATCATATAATCAGTATCATCTAAATACATCACTAAAATATAATATAATTCAATAAAAATACATCTGTAATAAAGCTATTAACATAATTGCACAATTTATCACAAAAAATCATATACAGTAATTATCAAATAATCACCTGGATGAAGAACAATGTACTGGTTTTGAAAATGTGACATAATCCTTTTCAAAAATAAATTATTTTACTCATTTTCACCGTATACTGGGTTTACATTATTATCAATAAAGTTCTAATACACCCAATTAAACCATACAAAAAATGAAAAATGAGTTGTTATCAATGACAATGTTGAACTTCAAGCCCTTTTCTTAGTCATTTTCATTAATAATACCATATTGATAAAAACAACAAAAACAATTATAATTAATATCCAAATCCAGCATTGTGATGTTCTACGTGTATTTTCCTGTAATTTATCAGATTGGATGCGGAGATGATCAATATTATTGTCTGCTAATTGAGAAGATTTTTCCACATTGGCACTGTCATTTCTTATAATGTTCCCCGCTATAAGTGATTGTTCCTTAATATTTCTAGCCAATACCAACATATTATCAGCTATTTTTTCTTGCATTGTATGATGATATTTTAAAATATCATCCAGATCAGTGGAATCATCACTTTTTAAAACTGTTGCTCCAGTCCGTTTTCTTAATACAGATTCACTTTTACCAAACAATTCATCTCTAACTTCTGAATTAATTGTTTCATTAGCTGAATGTTCAATATCTCTATTTGAATTAGAACCCATTGTTGGCTTAGGAGTTGCTTGATAAGTCTTCATCTTATCAAGTGGATTTTCAACTTGCTGAACATTAACAATACCCTTTAAAAAAGCCAGTCTTTTTCTGTATGATCCCATTACATCATCTGTAGGTTTATAGGATTTATTATCCAGATCTTCAATCATATTTTCGAGACTTTCAATATATTTTTTTAGTCTCCAGTCCATTTCAACCTCTTCTTCGAATTTTTGATTTGACATTTCCTCACACCTCTTGAGGAGCCTCTTAATATTGGTTTCATCATGATATGCACTGCTAGAAAATACCATAACAAACGACTCTGAAAGAAATAAAAAATAACTAAAATACAATGTATTAAAAATTAAATAATTTCTCAAAACCTCAACACCATTGGAAGGAAAACTAAGTATATAAACAAATAATAACCTATAGTAACCTCTCTAAACATCGACTTACAAAAACGATTAATACATATATCGATAGGGTTAATTGACTTCTCTTTATCAAACAACTGCAACCTTTAAAAACCCGCTAAATCCAGCTTTTAAAATTGTCATGGGGATCGTGAAAGTATTAATGGTAAAGATGTAAATAAGTAAGATTTAATGAATATTGTAAAAACTTATTTTACAATTTATTCAATCGGAGCAGTAAATGCAAGGGATTTTAACCGTAAAGTCCTTGATTAATATGTAAATAACACTGGGTACTGGGTTCTTTTAACACTTTTTTATGATAATAAAAAATAAACGTAAAAAAACATAAAAAATTATGATTAAAATTTCCAACAAGAAATAACCATTTACATCATTTATTCAAGACAAAGAATTAAACATTAAAGGGATAATGCAAGAAATATAGTTGGTACAATATAATCAATGAATGCTCAAGTGCGTTTCAGGTTTCAAGCTCATAGGGTGATGTAGTCATCTCCATCCTGAAATATGAACGCATGGATATCCGAAAAGTAATGGATAATTAAGAAGATATTTTATACTTTTTTACAAAATAATATTACTTTGACCGAGTTATCCATTCTCTTCACTTTAAATTATTTCCATCAAATCAATATTGACTAAAACTAAAATCTTAGTTTTCTAGATAAAAGTCTTGCCTACTGTTTTCACGTTTATAGACTCGTTAACCACTAAAATTAAGAATAATAGCGTATAATATTAAAAAAAATCGGTATATAAAAACTTTTACGACATAAATAAATATAAAGAATAAAAATTTACAAATTATGTTTCTGACATTACTATTTCTAAAAACAGTTGAATGGAAGTATAATAAGAACGTGATCATGATCAAATCACCTCCTTTCACAACCGTTGGCAAAGATCACTAGGAATGTCTTAATCATGTACCTAAATCGATCCAATTTATGAGGAAAAGTTTTTAATTATATGTATAAAAGTAAATATTTTATTCTTGAAAGAACCAAAAAAACTCAGAAGTTTACGATTGAGTTCATTAACAACAGGTTCCAAGCAGACCTCACGAGCCTTCCCCCCGCCGGGATTGCAGCCACTCGGCCCCACCTGACCAATAAGTAAAAATTTTGAAACTTCTAAATTTACATTCAAGTAAAGTATTTATAACATTATGTATATATATATATTACAATATTATTATATAATAATGTAACTTTAGATAATATTTTTGTGGTACACTTTATAAAATGCTTCAGTTTATATTTAGAGGTAAAATTAATATTTGATGGACGGCCCAGGAAAATTATAACTATGCCCCGTAGTTTCTATCCACGGCTCTAGTCCAAGAACACTGAGGAGTCAGGCAGCTATAATCTTTGATCTTCTAAAATAAAAAATTAATAATCTAGAAAGTATAAACAGTGTAGCAGAAGCATAACTGCTATTGGTGTAGGATTTCCTTTTTGAATGATTAATTTTAAAAAGTCTACACGTTAAAACGGTTAAGACAACTTGAATTATATGTCAACGGTCAACTCTAAAACATAAGTAGAGTTGGACATCTAACGTTTTATTATTTCCACCGTACATGATACTTTATCAATCACGTTTTTAAAAAGAAATATCAGTAGTTAGCTTAAAATAAAAGTGGAAATAATATCATAAAATTTTATTTTAAATAATAAGGCAGTGAAACCATTGTGACTTTGTTTCCCTGGATAAATCATTTCATCTACTTGGCAATTAAATAAGATACATCATAAATATCCATTAATAAAAAAATTAATAAATGATAAACTATTAAGTAATTAAATTAAAATATATATATATGAAAAATTCATGTAAATAAATTCTTATAAATATATCTTATATACTTACACGTGTTAGTGAAGCTAGAAACAACAAAGGAAGCAAAGCGAGTCCGAAATACATCCTGTTGGACGGCTACTCCGAGAGTAATGGAACCACGAAGAGCTGACAACTCCCACACATCCCTAGATAGCAGCACCTCCTCCTTTATCCTTTTGCTAACTAGGACACAATTTATTTTATTTGTTGCCCAATCCCGGTAGACACTAATTTAATTTATCAAATTATTATATCAAACATATCCTTAGAAATTCTCTTTTCTTTTTAATTTTACATGGTGGAAATATTTTAGTAACAACAAACAGTAATATTTACAATAATTAAGTATTATGTATTACTACAATCATAATTTACTTTCTCATTATTATTGATTTCGCATCAGTGGAGGGAAAAAAATCAAAAATAATCATGATAATAGTAATAATAATATGAGAATAATAAGTTATAATTGATTTCAAATACATCCAAGGCAGATTTATTATCAACTTAATAAAAATTCATGGAATAAAAATTGTTTCTATTATTTCACTGGAAATATTATCAAGTCGAAATTTGTTTCATTGTCATAAAATTAAATTTCCCTTCATCAATGTATGTTTGTTAATATTAGTATTGTTTATTGAATTATTAAAACAAAATTATGTTTTTGACTCTTCTTTGAGCACCACCCGAACCATCTCTTCTTTCATTATGGGTATATGATAATATCAAGCAAAATTATTTTCCAAAGTTTTTGTCAATTTACATAACATCTTATAATTTAAAACAAATATTTATCCATAAAGAGTATTGGATTGATTTATCATGCAATTAAGTATTTGTAAATACGATTTTTCACATAACTGAGTATTGATAATAAGAGAATGCTTATTTCAGAAACAACACATGTGTAATTTTTACTGGTTTTGAGTTGTGCCCTGTTCTGAGTGTAAAATTTGTTTATTGGGATATATTTTAATACAAGCACACCACTTACAGAAATAGTATTAAGATTGGTTATTTTCACTATATATCTTTTGCAGACTTTCCTATTTGAATATTTTTGTCCAAATTTTTGTGTTTTTTGTGTGTTTTTTTTAACTGATAAATTACCAATTAATTTATTTATCTTCATAAATTCTTATATTGATTTACAATTTAATTAAACATCGCTAATATTGAATAATTTTAAAATTATAATCAGAAATATTAAATTTAGGAGTTAAATATTAAGGTAAGGAAGAACAATAAGTTGGAAAGGTGCTTGAAGGAGCTAGAATAAATAAATAAATTATATACATACATAATACAGCTGTAATCATTTCTGAAAGTAGGACCTAGATGATTATTTTTCACTATTGTATTTATAAAATAAGATTCATAATTTTAATATACATTTAACTTTATATAAACAATTGGTTTTATTATGTGTATATGTAAGTACAGCATAGTATATTACTTATGCGTTATTACTTAACTGTCTGTCCAATACTAACTGTATCTCTACATAATGTAATTTGATAGTATTTGTTATTATCTTTTATAATCGTGTTTTTTTTTTTGTTATTTTTTTTAGTAATCTTACTAACAGGCTTGGTCTGGAATATCACAATAACCTGGAATACTTTCATAAAAAAACACAATCATGGTAATTTATTATAATAAACAGAATGAATAAAAATCAAATTCCAAACAAGTAACTCCAGAGCTGTATAGAGTATCTAGCTTTCTTAGCCTAGTTAAATAGTGGAATATGATCTACCTGAAGTTTTAAGCTTGAAACGTTTTACCATTCACAAATTTTATGATTTTTTCATTATCATAGCTTCACAAAGAGAAAAATGAAACATGTATTAGGAAGAACAGGAAGGTAAATTCCTGTTGAGTTTTTATTTAGAAGTCAAAAGATTGAAAGTGGGATTTACAGTTTAATTTTTAGAGTATATAAACAATTTTAGATGGATGTTCATATAAATATTAAATTGATAAATTTATTTAATTGAAAAATATGTTATTAAACTTATTTTGGTAGCTTGTTGCTTTGTTTATACTTATTAGTTTACATCTACTTTCAGCCCTTAAATGCAATGACTTTATCTTTAGGGATCATGTATGTAGTTAGGTTCAAAAGTATTCCTTCATCATTTTTAAAATATATAAAATTTAAATTATTATTATTGTTAGCAGTGGATGTTTTTTGATGAATAATAAAATAAATAAATAATAAAACCATTTAATATTAGCATAAAAAAACTATAACATAAAACACATTTCTTAAACAGACCATTCCAAAACCCAAAAACGTCTGCCAAGTAAGGTCAGTATAGCTTCCTCACCGTTTCCATTGTATATTACAAGGTATACAATTTTTCATATGAGAATAGAATCTCTGAGAGAAGCAGAATCGGAATAGCCGATTACAGTTACCCTTCAACATTCAACAAAAGAGTGTCGTATTTGAAGATTCCATACTTGATTATGCTTAATAAAAAAAAATAAATAAATAAATGCATACTGAACATGAATTTCAATACTGTTAGTGCAAAAGGTCTTACGTAAAAATTTATTTATTGTTTTACAAGAGTGCGTAAAAACCCATTATTTCTTTATGCTTTATTAGAATAATTTCATATTTTATTGTCATCTGCTATTTTCCATTGTAGCAGACCACGGGCGGATCTACGGGGGAGGGGGCTTTCGGGCTGAAGCCCCTCCCCAAAATGGTAAAATATAACCATGTTTTATCGAAAAATAAATTTAAAAAGTATCTCTTAAAGTATTATTGTTCGTGTAATTACATTTAAAAGGGCTTTAGGAATCACTTAAACACCATTTCATACAGGTAGTTAGTTTCTTTCTTTTTTTTTCCAAAGTAATTATCGTTATTTTTATGAAAAAAAAACTTTCGGGCTGAAGCCACCCCCAAAATCAAATCCTGGATCCGCTAGTGTAGCAGACTACTTATATCAGTTGTAGACTACAAAATGTCACCATTAATACACATAGAATTAAAGTTGAAAATTTTTACATTCGAACTTTTGCTCTAATAATAGTGATATACACTACCGGATCCAGATTTAATTTTGGGGGAGGGGCTTCAGCCCTTCCGTCATATATAAATATAACGATAATTAATTTGAAAAAAAATCCACTGCAAGTTATTTCACTATGGTATATTATTTCCAAACAATACATATAAAGTAACATTAAATTCCTAGTTATAAAGAAGAATGAATAAAAGGTGATTCCAATCACTGGCGGATCCAGGATTTAATTTTGGGGGGCTTCAGCCCGAAACCTTTTTTTTCATAAAAATAACGATAATTACTTTGGAAAAACAAAAAGAAACTAACTACCTATATGAAGTGGTGTTTAAGTTATTCCTTAAGTACTTTTAAACGTAATAACACGAACAATAATACTTTAACAGGTATTTTTAAATTTTTTTTTCCCATAAAACATGGTTATATTTTTCCATCATGCTTCAGCCCGAAAGCCCCCCCCCCCTAGATCCGCCCGTGATTCCAATTATTGGACTAAACTTTTTTTAATCATTAGTATTATGCTAAAACATAGCATTACTTCAGTAACACATTCAATAATCAAAACAAAAGATAAACCTTTTGCAATAGCACATCTAAAAGTAAACTAGAGACCATATCTTTGCTGCTAATTGTCCGATTTTAACGATTTTTTTTTTGTTTTTTAGGAAATTTACCATCCCTCGTAACTTTTTTTTGAGCTTCTTTTCGTTGAAATATGTTATATAGATAAATTTAAATGGCGTAGGGAAAATGACTGTAGCGAAGTTTCATTAAAATCGGTACATTCGTTTAGGCGCTACAGTCTACAGCAACGCAGGTTTTTCGGCCGCCATTTTGAAACGAGAAGGCGAATAGTAATGCCGTTGAAAGAGGATCATCCTCTGGTGACCTCTGATTTTATATCCAAATTCGAAAAAAATCGGTCCAGGGCAATGCGCGGACGAGGGACAGCGGACTAGTAGTGCATATATAAGAGAAAGTGGTGGACAGAATTCAATAAAATTGACCCTACGTTATTTTTTCACCAAAGTCTACCTTTTATTTAACTTTGAGCCAAATCGAACAAGCCCTTTCTAAAATATTGGCATATCTAAAAATATACGTTTGCGCGTGCGTAAGCGGAAGTACTGGATGGAATTTGATAAAATTGATATGGGACCATATAGGCACCAATCAGCATAATCCCTGAAAATTTCATGAAAATAGGATGAACGGTACTAGGTTATATGCCCGTCACATCGATTTGACAACAGACAGACAGACAGACAGACCGACAGGCACCGAACCAAATTTGATCCTTGATGTCTGAAACGTAAAACGCGAGTGAAAATTTTCGATTCTGAGCAAAAAATTTTTTTTAATCTCTCGCACGAACACAATGCTTCCCTACCTTCGGTAGTGAGGAAGCAAAATATTATTATTTACCAATATGGAATGTAAATTCGAGGGAGGCATTATTTTTAATCCGAGAATAGGACACCCTAAAATCATAAATTACTAAAAAAAAACCCAAGAATAAATACCTAAATTAGTGAATGAATTTTTTGCTTAATTCGGTGACAGTTTCTAGAGCTAGAGCACAGGAAGGAAAAAATACATAAATTTGGATGTAAAATAAAGTTATATCTGGGTGGACAGAAAGAATAGTAATTTTTAGATGCATGTAATATTTTCCATTTATAACATTTTTTAATAAATTACTTTATGTATCTTTTCTAGCGTTATGCTTATTCTAGTAATATTTTCTGTTAAGTTTAGTTTTTTAAGTGAAAATTTGATATAAGATGGAAATAATAAAACAAAATGAAAGAAAGATGTTCAGCAAACTTCAATGTTTGGCTGAGGTTGATTTCATATTGCAGGATGAAGATTAGGAATCTACTTTTCAGGAACATGAAACATCAAAACTAGGAAGACTGAAAATCTATTATTTAAAGTGTTGGATAACAAGATTAAGTCAAATTCATTAATGTTTTGAAGTAAAGAATCATGAACTTGTATTAGCTGCAGAGGTTTGTGATAGAAGTTCTTGAAAAATTTAGGCTGCAAGATTTCTGAGAGATACGATTAATGGGCAGAGGTGGCTGTATGGAGGGACTTTCAGGCTGAAGCCTCCCCCTCCTCCTCCCCCCCAAAATG